ATCCAAAACCGTTAAATCTTTTCACTACCTTCCACAAGAATTCACTAACAAAGCGAAGGAATCTGTGGAGAGCCGTGACCGCCTACGTCTTCAAGAGGCACAGTACTAAAAAGATAGCATATCAGTTTAAATAACTATTTATTTGGCGCGTATATTCTTCACTAAATAAAAACCTAGAGGAACAAATTTTGTAAATTACTTGCATGTATAGCTCTATGAAAATAGTTCTATCTTAACTCAATTGGGTGTCCTCATTATTTAAACTTGCCATTTTCACGGTCAGAACTGAACAAGTTTTCTTGTTGTTTTAGATTGGTGTCTGTCTCAAATATTTTTTTTTTCATTTTATGGCCGGCCGACACATCAAACCACGATGGGTTGGCAGAGATGCGTGGGTTGATTCGACCTTTTCCAAAAGCTAAGCAGATTATTAAGAAACAGAAAAATCTTCGTTAGCAACAAAGAAAAGAGTACTGAACTACGTTTTCGAAAACTTAAGGAGTCAGCGCATATGGCAGACCACAAAAATCTCCTAAGTCAGTCAATCATAGACATGAATACAACATAGGAACCAGTAATACAGATAGCTAGCAAAAAAACAAAACAAAAAAAAACAATTGTAATATGAGCTCTGTTAAAAATTGTTACTTAGGAATTAGGTTTATAAGTTCCGACAATTCAGTCACTGATGTCCCCAAGGACACATGTCCCAGTAGATAAACACGTTGGTTGAGTAAGCCAAAAACTGACTTCATCCAATATAGTCTACCGACCAGAACATTCGAGAAATTTTAAAAAGGATTTGAACCAACATCCCCCTTTTCAGGAGAAACTAGTTTTACTCGATGTGATTCTGACCGACTCGGCTACGAAAAGCTTCGGAATCAGACAACGTTCTCTCTGCCTTTAAAGCACACTTTACTCATTCAGAAATTTCTTTGTAACGTTTCCGATATGACTCTAAGCAGTTATATATTGCAAAGGAGCCTGAATGTCTAATGTATGCCTTAAAGGCAAATAGAAGCTGGCCTGGTAACGAATAGCTTCGTAACCGCCTGGTCAAAACGACGGGAAGAGCGGGTTTGAGTCCTGTCGAGGTTACATCTTTTTCTTTACGATTTCTTGAATGTTCAGGTTGGTAAACGAAATCAGATAACGTTCAAAGTAATAAAAATATAAAGGATTAATAAATAAAAATCTATTCGTCCAGGGAATTTAACTGAAAAAAATCTCTTAGTATAAAGGAAATTTACATTAACCAGAAAAAGGCTTAGACAGAAGCGTCTATCTTTTTAAATTTGGATTTTTTAATGTAACTATAACAACAAAAACATTTCGATTTCATTTTTGCCTTGAAAAAATCGAAAGCCGTAACCCGTCGGCAAAATCTAAGATTTTTTTTTACAATTGTCATTTTATACCATATATATATATATATATATATATATATATATATATATATATATATATATATATATATATATATATATATATGTTAAACATGCTGATATTGATCTAAATTTAGTTTACATAATTAACACTAGAGACGAACTTATAATTCATCTCGCATCACATCAAATACAATCTGGAATAAGTATAGCTTTTTACTTAAGATCAGTTTCAATTTGTAGCTTTCTCTATTTACAAGAGGAAAATTAATTGATCCAAATATCCTATTAATTTCTTACATAGCGCTTACGGCTACATTACTTTTAAACATCGCTCCCCATAAGGTCATTTTATACCATATATATATATATATATATATATTAGTATAATTACTTAAAATGCTATTTTTTGTGGATATCCGTATGTGAGTCGACGCTTTATTTTTTAAACAGCGATTATTTCGTCTACTGTCCAGAACATTCGTACAAGACCCAAATGCCATCAGGGGCTTACAGAATAAGAGGTACAGTTTATGGGGATATGTAAAGGAGGTAACGGTTAACTCTAGATTTGAACAGATCAAGATTGATCGGAGAAGCACCCTGTTGAGTGTCGGTTTCACAAACCATTGGTACATGGGAAGAGGCTGTTCGAGTGGAACTTATTTCTCATCAATGGTATTCGAAGGGAATGAAGGTGGTTCGCTACAATGGACGCCGAATGGCTGGTCTGAGCCGTGAAATTTAGAGCTCAGAAATGCAGTTCGTCTGAACACGTTCCATGGAAAGAGCGATAAAGCAGCGAGAGGCTTCCATCGTTTCGTCTGTGGGAAAAGTGTTGTCGGGTGGAAAATAATTCATTATAGAAGCTATATACAAAATTAAATAGCTTGTATTACAAAATCAGAGAGAAATTCTGAAAAACGAAGCACTTCCAGTCCCAAGAATTTCGGTTAAATGATTCTTAATCTGTATTAGTCATCCAATATGGCAAGGACTTCTGAAAAGTTTCCTTACAGCTGAAGAAGAGACTTGAAGCAACATATATGTGGCTCAATAGTAAGATGTTAAAAGTGTCAAGGACAGAACATTTGAATGCCGAGGAAATCTTTAAAATCATCGGAACGAAAAGGATTCTTCTCC